CCTCTGTCATTTTTCTGCCTTTCCTTCTTTAATGAACAGTTCAGAAGTTTAGAATTCAGCGTGCTCACTTCAGGGGGAGGTGTTCTCACAGCTGGTTCAACGGTAGATCCTGTCTCTTCTTAGCTCTGCTCCATCCCTTGGGGATCACGTGATGTGCATCTGCCTCTGTGCTGGCTTACTCTGCTCTTTGTATCTCAAAGGAGATCGACTTAAACTTTAGTCCAGAAATAACCTTTGAAGTCTTCTCAAAGCCAAACAACATGTGAGCCCAACCAGCAAATATCTGCCCTGGGCATCCGGCCTCCCCTGCTTTTTAAATGGCTATTTATTTTGCTGTTGTTGAGAATATGCACAGCAAAACATAACCCGATTCAACAGTTTCTACATGTACAATCCAAAGACACTAAGTTCATTCTGAACTGAAAAAAAATATATGTGTTTGGCATGTATCTGGATATAGATACACGAATTCAAGACCATTGCCATCATGTTGATTCCAACTCGCAGCGGCCCCAGAAGACAGAGGAGAGCTGCTCCTTAGGGTTTCTGAGACTGTAAATCTTTGCCGGAGTGCACAGCCTCTTTTTCCTCTTCCAGAATAGCTGGTAGGTCTGAACCACTGACGCTTTCATTAGCAACCCAAGGCTCAACTCACTGGGACAGGTTTCCCCCACCCCACCCCACTCTCCCTCTCTCTCAAGAAACTGCATCCACTATCTCTTCTGTGAAACATTTCAACAGTCTCCAGAGGAATCAATCCATGATTTTTGCAGTCAAAAATCATGATCACTTAGAAATGTTCCTACAGTGTCTTTTGTGACCATTAAAGTCAACTACATTTTTATTTATTTTGAACATTTGCCCAGGGGTAAATAACTTTGACAGTTCTCTGTTACATAAGGGACGGGGCTAGGTGGCGCTGCGGATTCAAGTCAAGGAGGTCAACAGAATAGAGGTGAGAGAGAAAAGTGGGAGTCAGACCATGAGAGGCCCTGTCTGCCATACAAATGTGCCTTCCCTTTGTAACCATGGGAAATTAGCTGGGAAATTTTCCCAAATGGAACCGCCTTGCTAGAGTTGCATTCTAAAAGGATCCATCAGATATGCATGTGAAAAATCTGACCATTAGGCTCAAAAAAGGGTTGATGTGGATGGAGGTGGGAAAGGGGCAAGAGATGCACAAACCATTCCAATCTTAATGTGGGAAACACAGAGTAACATGTAGGGCCAAGGCAGTGCATTCTAGTTGGACAAGCTGGGACGGAGATGCCAATGGGCTGTTCAGGGCAATTGTCCAGGAGTCAGAGAGTGAAGTGGGACTGGAGCTAAAGAGGAGGGTTTGGGTAGAATTGCCAGGGGTAGAAATGAGAGATGATATCATAAGAGAGAAGGCCTAGACTCAGGCCCAAACTCTGGGGAACACCAACGTGTAGGTAATGCGGTATTGTACTTAAGAACACAGACTTGTGAGCCAGACAGCTGATTATTAGCAGCATGAGCTTTGTTGTTATTGTTGTTGTTAGGTGCCATTAAATCAGTACCGACTCACGCGACCCTATCTATGTACAACAGAATGAAACACTGCCCGGTCTGTGCCGTCCTCACAATCGTTCTTCTACTTGAGCACATGGTTGCGGTCGCTGGGTCAATCCATCTTTTTTGCTGCCCTTCTACTTTACCAAGCTATCTTTCTCCAGGGACTGGTCTCTCCTGATAACCTGTCCAAAGTACACGAGACAGTCCCACCGGCTTGCTTGTAAGGAGCATTGTGGCTGGACTTCTTCCCAGATAGATTTGTTTGCTCTTTGGGCAGTTCGTGGTACTTCGAAGATTCTTCGTCACCACCATAAATGAAATGCATCAAATCTTCTTCAGCCTTCCTTATTCAATGTCCAGCTCCCACCTGCCCATAGGAGGCAACTGTAAATACCCTGGCTAGAGTCAGACACACCTTAGTCCTCAAAGTGACATCCTTGGTCTTGAACACTTGAAAGAAGTCTTGGGCAGCAGATTGACCCACGGCAATAGAGCATCCTCCGACTGCTTGACCGCTGCTTCCGTGAGCATTGGTTGCAGATCCAAGCAGGATGACGTCCCCCACAACTGCGATCCTTTCTCCATGTCGCACGATGTTGTCTACTGGCGGTCCCGCTGTGAGGAGTTGGGTTTTCTTTGTATTAGCATGCCCTAAGACAGGTTATTTTACCGCTTTTCCATATCTGTAACATGAGCAAAACAATCGTACCTATGTCGTAATTAAAATAGAGCTTGCTATTTTTAGTTTAATTAAGGAATATGTGAACAAAAACAATCTGTTTTATTGACCATGCAAAGGCCTTCTGTGTGAATCATAGCACATCAGGCATAACATTACAAAGAATGAGAATTCATGTGGAACCTGTTCATAAACCAAGCGACAATCCTTCAAATAGAACAAGGATACTGAATGGGTTGAAATCAGGAAAGGTGTGCATCAGGGTTGTATCCTTTCACTATACTCATTCAACTTGTATGTTGAGCAAGTATTTTGAGAAACTGGACTATATGAAGAAAAATGTGCATCAAGATGGGAGGAAGACTCATTTAAAACCTGAACTACACAGATGGAATAGCCTTGCTGACTGAAACAAAGAGGGCTTGAAGTACTTACTGAAGAAGATCAAAGACTACAGCCTTCAGTAGGCAATATGCCTTGACACAAGAAAACGAAATCCATGACTAAATCAATTGTCAACATTGCAATAAATGAATAAATCCCGAAGTTGTCTAGGATTTCATTTTCCTTGGATCCACAATCAACCCTCCTGGACGTAGTAGTCAAGATCTCAAACATGCAAAGCTGCTCCACAAAATCTGTTAAAGTACAACTACTGGAGCATGGAGTTTGTAATCAGTTCAAGCGCATGTGAAAGCTAGACACTGAGTAAGTAAGGAAGACTGAAGGAGAATCAGTACTTTGAATTATGGTGTTGATGAAGCGGATTGACTATGTGGACCACCAGAAGAACAAGGAGCCCTCGGAACACTGGTGGTGCTGCGGTTACATGTTGGGATGCTAACCTCAAGGTCACCAATCACTCCGCCAGGGAAAAAGATGAGGCTTTCAATTCTTGTAAGAGTTACAGTCTCGGAAACCCCCAGGGGCAGTTCTGCTCCGTCCATTGGCAGTCAGTTGTTGTTGTTTTTCAGTGGTGTAGTAAGGAATCCCGTTGGTATCAGACTTCTAACAGCAAGGTCAATGGTTCAAACCCACCAGCAGCTCTTCAGGAGAAAGATGAAACTATTTGCTCACGCGAAGATTTACAGCCTCCGAAAGCCCACAGAGCAGATCTATTCTGTCTTCCAGGCTCGCCATGAGTCGGTATCGACTCCAGGGCAACGTGCTACTAGAAAAATGAAGAAACCTGTCTTGGAAGAAGTACAGCCACAGGGCTCCTAAGAAGAGAGAATGGTGATACTGCCCCAAATGCACTTTGGACAGTAATCAGGTGGGATAGACCCTGAAGAAGGATATCTCGGTCTGTAAAGTAGAGGGTCAGAGCCTAAGGGGAAGCTCCTCAGTGAGAGGGACTGACATAGAGGCTGCTGAAATCGGCTCAAACACAGAAATGATTGTGAGGATAGTTCAGCACTAGGGTTTTGTTCTGTTGTACATAAGGTGGATTTGAGTGAGAACCGACTCAATGGCACCTGACAGCAACATGTAGGGGAGACCACGAAGGTGAAGGAGAAGTGTGGTAGTTACATAATCTGTTGTCAATTTGAGACTTTAGAGGGAAGGGGTGGAGTTTTAGCCTGTCAATCAGGTCGCAGCTTGATGACCTCATTAGAGGCACTAAGGAGATAAATAGCTTGCTGGAGGCAGAACACAGGCTCACTCCCTGCAAGACATTCCTTTTGAGAAGACCCGCTAGAGCCCTGGAGCTGAAGGAGCCACGTGGAGACCCATGCCAGTGCTGAGATGCTTACATCTCAGTCACTGGATCCACAAGACTTTGCACCCACTGGCCTGTGATCTTCCTGCATTTGGCATCATTGCATGTGTTTCATGAGTCTGAAGAGGGATTTATAGATTGGTATCGGGCATATGGGCTAATATAGGACTTATGGACTTGATTTGGGGTAGGCTGGAATGTTTTCTCAATATTCAATTGCTCTTGTATATAAAGATCTTTCTTATACACATATACAAGTGTCTATTTGTTTCTCTAGTCTAGCCAGACTAACACAATAAGGTAGTATGAGAAGTAGCTGAGAAACCACGAGAAAAGGCAATTTTATGGCAAACCCACCAACAGGAGTGTAAGCGTGCGCGGTCTGTAAAGTTCACCTCTCCCAGCAGTTCGTCCCCTGGCCAAGAGCACTTTCCACACAGACCTCCACGGTTTGAAGGGTCCAACTAGATTCTTCTTCCACCATCCATCACCCCTAGCTCTCCCCGAGAAGAGGCCTTTTTCTTTTCTTTTTTATAAATCGTTTTATTGGGGGATCTTATAACAATCCATACAGAAATTGTATCAAGCACATTTGTACATATGTTGCCATCATCATTTTCAAAATTTTCTTTCTATTCTAGCTCTTTTTTCCCCTCCCCCTTCCACCCCACCTCGTGAACCCTTGATAAATTGTAAATTATTATTGTTTTCATATCTTTCTCCTTTCACCCACGTTTCTGTTGTTCGTGCCCCTTTAAGATTTTTTTTAAGGGCAATGACTCACGGATTTCACTCCCCCCTTTTTTGAATTCATTCCACCTTACAGTGGGATGATAAGTTGTACTTCTAACTCCTCCACGTCTGTTCCCTGCACACCGTCGGCTGTTGATAAAAGAAATGGATGGTACAGAGACGTCTGCACACCCTGGTCCCCCTGACTACGGTACTATTATTTTTGGCTTTCGTGCCGTCGCGCGGACTGTCATTCCCAACATGACCACAAGGCGGAGCCCCACTGCTCTCTCTGGGACAAGTTCCGGCTGCCCCGGAAGCACATCGTCGACCCCGCCCCTAGCAGGGATGGCGGCGGCAGCGGCGGCTCGAGCGGTCCTGGTCCCGGCGCTACGGCGCCAGCTGATGGGCTTCACCCGGAGGCGTCTGGTCGGGGGCGCCGCAGGCCAGGTGAGCGTCGCCCCACGTGTCGAGGCTTCGGCTTGGGTGGCGCGGGGAAGTGCGGGGCACCAGGCTTCATCAGTTTCATCCCTGGGCGCGCGGGACCTGCCCGTGTCGGTGGGGTGACCCCGGTGGCCCTCCTCATCCCAGAACCAGTAACTGAGGGGTCGTTATAGAGCGTGCGCGAGGGGGCGGCCACAAGTTCCTGGGAGAAGTTCCATTACAACAGGCTTTTTGGAAACTCTGGTATGCCCCGGCATGACTCTGCTGCTAGCCTTAAAACTGGGTGGCCATCACTTGCAGCGTTAAAAAGGCCTGGCGACCGGCTTCCTCTAAGCATCCTTCCCAGAGAACCCAGCGCCGCCGTCCGCCCCGCACTCCTGGGGCAGCATGCATCAGATCAGAACCTGGCCCAAAGCTACCAGCCGCGGCATGCTCACCACCAACAGGCGGCTGCTTGCTAATTAGGTGACACTGGTGGCTGAGGCGGCGCTTCTGTGGGGCTTCCTGTGACCCCAGAGAGCCGACGACGAAAACTGTCATCGTTGGCTCTCTCTTTTTTCTTAGAGCCCGTAGCTTTCTTCAAAGGATTTGGGACTTCAATCTCATTTTAAAGAAAAGAGAAGGCGAAGAGTCCCTAACAACCAATCACTTCAGCCAAGAAACATTCTCTTGGGCACCTGCCCCTCTTCCTTGCTTCCTTGTTCAAAGTTTGCTTTCTTTGAGCATTGTAAACCGAACTCTCATTTTTATGCAATGTGGCCCTTGGTGGTGGTGTATGCTGTGCATGGAGTTGCTAACCACAAGGTCTTGGGTTCGAACCCTTTGGCTACTTCATGGGTGAACGATGAGCCTGCCTACACCAATGAAGATTTACAGCTGTGGAAACCCACGGGGCCAGTTCCAGTCTGTGCTCTAGGTTTCCAACGAATCGAAATAGACTGTAACAGAGAATTTTGGTTTTGAGCTGTATTTTTTTCTCCTTGTTTTCTTTGAGGGGTGGGGTGGGTTAGCCGTTTGCTGTATCCCTTCATATTGAGCATGAAACATTTTCAGGAAAGTCATTGACCAAGTTTATCACAAAGCTCCCCAAAGGGGAGTGTTGCTGAGTCGATTTCAACTCGCAGTGGTCCAGTGTTGTACTTGTGAGGGGCCATTGAGTCCGTGTGACTGATAGGGACCGATGCACAACAGAAGAAACTGACTGGCCCGCGCCGTCCTCACACTCCTTCTTCTAGTTTAAGCCCATGGCTGCAGCCGCGGTGTCAGTCCATCGCATTGAGGGCCTTCCTCTTTTTTCTTTTTCTTAAAAATCATTTTATTAGGGGCTCATACAACTCTTAACACAATCCATACATACATCCATTGTGTAAAGCGCATTTGTGCATTCATTGCCCCCTTCCTCTTTTCATTGCCCTTTACCCACCATGATGCCCTTTCCCAGGGCTGGTCTCCTGATAACCTGCTCAAAGTACATGAGATGAAGCCTTGCCATCCTTAACTCTAAGGAGTAGCCTGGCTGTACTTCTTCCAAGACAGATTTGTCGGTCCTTTTGGCAGTCTGTGGTACCTTTTAATATTCTTTGTCACCATAATTCAAAGCATTGACTTTTCATCAGTGTACCTTTTTCAATGTCCAAATTTCACGTGTATATGAGGCGATTGCAAATACCATGGCTTGGGGCAGGAACATTTTACTCTTCCAAGTAACATCCTTGCTTTTCAGCACATTGGGGCCGAGTAGGGTACTCTAGAGCAGAGTGGAACTGCACCTCAGGGTTTCTAAGGCCGGTTAGTCTATGTGGAAGCAGAAGGCCTCCCAATTTCTCATGAGGAGTGGCTGGTGGGATGGGACCGCCCACCTTGTGGCGAGCAGCCCCGTGGCCGCTGGCCCACCTGGGCTCCTTCCCTGAAGGAAGAGCATGCTCAGACTCACTGCCGCTGAGGAGAGTGGCTGGTTAAGGAAGCAGTTCCTCCCGGGCAAGGGAGCGAATACCAGTGGGCTGAAAGTTAGAGAGTTTATCCTGGAATGTGAATTGGATTTCAGCACTTACTATGGGACTCGGAATGTGTTTTCCTTTCTTCCTCTGTCTCTCACCCTCCCAGGCACTGCATTTTGGAGGCGGCAGATTGAGAAGTACACAGGCCGCGACACAAGTTGTGCTGAATGTGCCTGAGACCCGAGTCACATGTTTGGAAAATGGACTCCGAGTGGCCTCTGAAGACTCTGGGCTCTCGACGTGCACGGTGAGTGACTTGGACAGCCCTCGTTTGCGTGGCTGCTCTTGGCAGAGGGCGAGTTGATGCCTTCCAGCATCGGCTCTTCCGGGATGCGTGGCTGCTGGCTGAAAACTGGTAGCTGTCTTTTTGCCTTGGCATATGCTCAGCGTTTTGTGCTTTCCCCGGTGAGTCCTCCATATCTAGTGCGTGGGTTCCTTGTCTCCGTGTCTTCCTCTGGTTCCCACAGCCTCGTTCGAGCAATGCCATTTTTCAGCCATGCTGTCCTGTGTGATCTCTGAAACACTCCTTTGCAGCGGCCATTACTGTGCCTGTTTGACAGCTGAGCAAGCAAGTTCAGTGGTTTTGTCCAAGGTTGTGGAGCTGATAGATGGCAGAGCCAGGAGTTGGGCCTCCATTTTCTGACAGAGTGGCCACCTGCCTATGGCAGTGAGTGAGGCTGAGAATCTGGGTTCAAGGGGGAGCTGTTGGGGAGATGTGTGTGTGTAGCACCCGGCAGTGGCCTGATGACCAAAATATGAAATTCCTCAATCCATAGAAATGAACTGGCAGTTCACCCAGGTCCAGAAAACCTAGTGTACAGATTAAAAGGAGACCATCCCCACCTCCAACCCCATTCTCACCCCCAAAGAGGAAGGAAATGCCTTTCTTAACCCGATTGCTAATTGGACACCTGCAGGTTGGGCTTTGGATTGATGCTGGAAGTCGATATGAAAATGAGAAGAATAATGGAACTGCTCACTTTCTGGAACATATGGCTTTCAAGGTGAGTTGTCAGATTCATTTGATAAAAAATGCACTTTTTATAAGAGGCACTGAGCGTAAAATCTCATTCTTCCAAGCCAGTGTGCCGTGTCTCATTTTTCATTACTTTTCATTAAAAAATATCCTGTCTAGGACAGGAATCTGAAAGGACCGATGCTGGCTTTGTAGAGTTGAAACAAGGATTTCTTCTTGGCATGTGAAGGTTCTGGGCGACTACCATTTCTGAAGCCTGCTGGACTTGAGAAACCAAACTTGGCCCCTTTCATGAAGCCACTGTGGGCACTGCCCTCTGTCTTCCTTATCTGAAGTGGTGAGCCGATGAGAAGGTGTCAACATCATGTGTTTCCCTCCCTTGTATTTCAGGGCACCAAAAAGAGGTCCCAGTTAGATCTGGAACTTGAGATTGAAAATATGGGGGCTCATCTCAACGCCTATACTTCCAGAGAGCAGACTGTGTACTATGCCAAAGCGTTCGCTAAGGATTTACCAAGAGGTATTGTCACATGTCTTACTGCAGTTAGGTCGCTTTCACCAGATGGTCAGAAGTACCTTAGTACTGTTGATATTACGGCTTGTGAGGGTCTTTTGATACCTTCTGTTGAGTGGACTTGGACTCCAGACGAGCGCCATGTGAAATACTAACCCACAGAAATAGGAAGGCATGTGCCCAATGCTGGGGGAAGAGACACCCGTTTTTGTTTTTTCTCTGAGTATGACAAATAATATTCAGTATGTAGAGACTTGGAGACTTGTGTCAACTGGGCTCTCATACTGGAGCCAAAGGTGCTTCCTCCAGAGCCATCCTTATGCAGTAAGATATTGTTAGTCATTTTTATTTTATTCCTTATTTGCCTAAAATACTATTTATCTTGAGTAAAACATGCAGATATTTACTTTTAAAAACCACCAGTGATTCTTTTTATATTAATAAAGTAGATTGGAGATTTTACTCTTGTTTTGTAGACTTGAAAGAACGAATTTGGCACCTTGGCATGGCAGTGTGTTACAGTTTTGATTGCCCAGTGATTTCAGTGTTTCTTCTTTGTTGTTGAATGTGCACATGGCAACATACATGGAGCAGAACATTGCCAACCTGGAGCATTCAGTGGCGTTGATTCTGTTCTTCAAGCTGTGCCACTGTTCTCTCTCTTTCCCAGAATTGCTCTTCCCCCATTAGCACGAGCTCACTGCCTTCCAGACCTCCTGTCTCACCTTTTGAGTTGCTCTTGTTAATTCGATTCCATATAGATAGTTCCTTAGGCAAACATGCTGTCAGGGCAAATATTCTTTACTTAATAAGCCAGGGTACTGTTTGGTTTAAAGACAACTTGAGAGGATACACACACACACACACACACACATATACACCTACTATATATTGTAGTATAAATTATATTCTACATTTGTATTTTATTACATATCACATACGATATGTAATGAAGGTTACCAATGTCAAAAAAATATTTTCTTCACTTGCTTCTATTCATTTCCTCATGACCAGTTCTTCATTTTTCCTTCCCAAAATATTGGATGCCACATTTGGAGCTATGAGGAATTCTTAACTACCACGGTAAAGTGTTGGGTATGGGGGGCCCCAGCACTCAAACAGGTCCTCAGGAGCAACGTTGTGATTGTGGAATATATTAAAGACAGACAAACAGACAGACAGACAATGGGGCACAGGGGCTCCTCGTCCCATGTCAGGACTGAGAGAGTGGGTGTATTTTCCAGTGGGTATAATGGGGCTTACAGATATTTCATAAGGGAGGCACATCATACAGCCAACATATAACAATATCAATAATCGGTATCATAAGCGGGTAACATAATAAATCAGCAATGAGGTTAATAATCATCGTCTTGACCTATCGCTAATTGACCTGGACCCTTCCTCCCCATCCCTTCCCAGGGGTGGTCTCTGATCAGTATCAGCAAGAGATAGCGAAACAGTTTGCTATAGAACTAATTGCTCTTATCTACACATAAACTTCAGGCATAGTGAAGTAGCCAGACACAGAAATGACTCATCTATTATGGTATCATCTTTAAGACTGCTTCTTAATGGGGGCACATTATTTGCCCTGGAGCCCTGGAGTGTATTTGAAAATATTTCTATCTCCAAGCAATGGAGATCTTCCTCAAAACAGGGCTAGTTTTCTATGTCTGACTGTGAGTGCAGAAAAAAGATCAAGTACTTTCTCCCAACTCCTCAGTTTACCACAGTCAACAACTTGAACTTTCATCCGCAGTCACACCAATGGGATGTAAGTTTTGGTTCACCTTGCAGTTGTAGTTGTGGTCCTGTGGTTCCAGAGGTTTAGCCAACCTCAGTAGTACGGAAAGTCTGGATTTTCTTAAGATTTGTGGAGCATCATTTTCTTCCTCCGATGAGGATTCTTCTGTAGAATCTTGGATCAAATGCGCTTGGAATTTCTAAAGGAACGGTTAATACACAAAACATTTTCCCAGAAGAAGAATTCACTGTAGACACGTCTGAGTTTGTGCTAACAGCGAAGTGCTTAATCATTTAGTGAAAGACTTAAGCTTCAAGGCTGCCCGTGGGAAGGTGGTCAGTTGGAACCTACCCAGCTTCTCCAGGGAGAAAGGCCTGGCAAATTTGCTTCCCCGAGGATTGCAGCCACTTCTGCTTTCTCACCAGGGTCGATGAGTCAAGATCAACGGACGGGACCCAGCAGGCGCATCAGCACAGTTTGTGTTCATTGATGATGTTGATACTTTGCACTTCTAGTAGGCTTTCACTCCTCTCGTTTAAATGGCACTTCACACAAGCTGGTTTGTATGTTAGAGATTGTGGCCTTGTGTGTGGACGTTAGAGGAGTCTCCTTCTTGGAGGAGAGAAAACTGAGGCTCAGGCTGACTTGCCCAAGATGATAGTTTACCAGGGGCTCAGCTGCAAGTGTCTTCAATTCAGTCTACTGACTCACTGCATCCGCTGGCCTTGCCAAAACCACGAAAGAAAACAAAAACTCCATCCCCTTTAGCACAAGAGAGTGTAGCATGGTTCCCTGACATTAGCGTTTAACAGTAACATTGGAGGATCTGCTGGTTTGAACTACAGAAACCATCGCTAGGCCTCTTCACGATTTCCTTAAGTGTTTGTCTCAGAAATGGTTCAGGACCAAGGAAGAGCACTGGACCGGTGTCTTTAAGCGGTCACTTCCCCGGGGCCCTCCTTTTCCGGGCTGACCCAGAGGAGAGCAGGGAGAGGCGGAGGGAAAAGGAGGAGGAAAGCAAAATCCTGTTGCTGGGTGTCCCTTTCTCGGCTCCTGGCTGATGAAGGGATTGTTTCCTAACTCAGGGAAGCCTAGTTTGGGAGTAACAGTCAGCCATTTCTCCTTCCTTTTGGGGAATGTGTATTTTTTCTGATAAAAAATTGCTCAGCATCCTAATAGGGTATTCTTTGCTTCACTCTAGGGTTTTTAAAATTTAGGGTTATTTTTTGTATAAGGATTTGAGGGGTTCATAAGCTTCCTCAGAGCCGCTCTTGAGCCTTTGTCTCATCTTCCTGTTCAGTTTTTGTCCCTTTCTTCAGATGTTAACTGCCGGTCTCTGCTGTCATCACTTATTCATCCGTGGCTTTGCTAATGGCAGGAGGCTAGCCAGTATTGACTACATGGGTGAAGTTTTACTAGATTAAGTGGGAGGAAACTAATATATAAGTGGTTCATCAGGGGAACTTTTTTTGTTTTGTTTTTAATCATTTTATTGGGGGCTTGTACAACTCTTATCACAATCCATATATACATCAATTGTGTCAAGTACGTTTGTACATTTGTTGCCATCATCATTCTCAAAACATTTGCTTTCTATTTGAGCCCTTGGTATCAGCTCCTCATTTTTCCCCTCCCTCCCCTGTGCCCCCCCCCCCATGAACCCTTGATAATTTATAAATTATTATTATTATTTTGTCGTATCTTGCATTGTCCGATGTCTCCCTTTACCCACTTTTCTGTTGGCCGTCCCCCAGGGAAGAGATTATATGTAGATCCTTGTAAACTGTTCCCCCTTTCTACCACACCTTCCCTCCACCCTCCCGGTATCGCCACTCTCACCACTGGTCCTGAAGAGATCATCTGTCCTGGATTCCCTGTGTTTCCAGTTCCTATCTGTACCAATGTACATCCTCTGGTCTAGCCATATTTGTAAGGTAGAATTGGGATCATGATAGTGGGGAGGTGAGGAAGCATTTAGGAACTAGAGGAAAATTTTATGTTTCATCATTGCTACACTGCACCCTGACTGGCTTGACTCCTCCCTGCGGCCCTTCTGTAAGGGATGTCCAGTTGCCTACAGATGGGTCTTGGCAACTGCACTCCCCCTCATTCACAATGATAAGAATTTTTGTTCTTTAATGCCTGATACCTGATCCTATCAATACCTCGTGGTCACACAGACTGGTGTGCTGCTTCCATGTGGGCTTTGTTGCTTCTCAGCTAGATGGCCGCTTGTTTACCTTCAAGCCTTTAAGACCCCAGATGCTATATCTTTTGATAGCCAGGCACCATCAGTTTTCTTCACCACATTTGCTTATGCACCCGCTTTGTCTTCAGCGATCATGTCGGGAAGGTGAGCATCATGGAATGCGAGTTTAATAGAACAAAGTGTACTTGCATTGAGGGAGTACTTGAGTGGAGGCCCAATGTCCATCTGCTACCTTAATACTAAACCTATAAATATATGCACATAGATCTAGTTCCCCATCATCATATATAAATACATTTACATATGTACATGCCTGTATTTAGACCTCTACAAATGCCTTTTGCCTCCCATTTATTTCCTCTATTTCCTTTTACTTTCCTCTTCTCCCACTATCATGCTCAGTCGTTATGTGGGTTTCAGTCATTCCTCTCGGTTACATTGCCCTTGATCAATCCCTACCCTTCTTACACCCTTGTTGCCACTGATCTTGGATCACTTGTTGATCCCTTGTCCCTGGGTTTGTTAACACCACTTCCTTTCCTCCACCTCCTCCACTTCCATGTCCACCCGGAACCATTGGTCCCTCCCGTTATTTTCTCCTCCAGATTGTTTATCCAGCCTATCTTATTTAGATAGACCTGCAGCGATAATAATAATACGCACACAAAAACAAGACATCAAAACAAAGTGAGAAAAGAAAACAAAACAATGACAATAACAAAAAAAAACCAAAGACAAAAAAAAGAAAAGCCTGTAAATAGTTCAAGGTCTGTTTGTTGACCTTTAGGAGTGTTTTCCGATCCAGTCTGATGGGGTGCCACACCCTGGCCCCAAAGTCTATTTTTGGTACTCCCTCGGGACTTTGTTGCTCTGCTCCTCTTGCTGTTCTGTTGCACGCCCTTAGTGTTTTGCCTCGCTGTGGCGGGGTCAGATTGGGCACAATTTCCACACTGTGTCTCCAATGTTGGCCCCTTTAGGGCTATGGGTCCGTGGGGGATGTCGTGGCTCATAGTGGGGCTGACCCTAAGGTCCTCTCTGTGCATTGGCTACTCTGAGTGGGCATATTATCCTCAAGGCTTGGTGGGCCAGGATGTGCTCCACTTCCTCTTCCTCCCCCTTCATTTGCTCCCATGTGCTCTGATCAGACATGTCCCTCTCTCCTAGCTGCAGCTTCAGTGCCGTCCTCTAAGGTAAATTCTTCTGAGGGGAGGGACAGCTGTCCACGTAGTTGGGATAGGGGCTGGCCCCTCAGACCTCTCTACTGGTTCCCTGCTTCATGCTGGCATGTTGCATTCACATCTTGGAGCACTGGGTTGAAGTCTGGTCCCTCTTTCTCTGTGGAGATACAAACAATACCCTCCTCCCCATGGGTGGGTTAGTGCTCTGTGCCCCTGCTACCCATTCCTTTTTTTTTCCCCCCCTCCTTTTTAGTTGGCTAAAAAGTTGTGCCCCTGGATTTTGTCTGGCCCCTGCCATACTACCTGGACCTAACCGCAGGAATGTTTGTGTACAGTAGCTTTTTCCAGGGGACCATTTTAGATCATGGCAACTCTTTGCTTCCCGGTGTAGCAGCTTCTTTCCTGGGGGACGTTGGTAGTACACACTTCGTGATGTGGGCCCTCCTTCTACTTGGTGACTCTCCTCCAGAACCACGCGCGTCACGTGCAGGTTTTCAAGGCAGTGTAGAACTGGCTGTAGTCATTACAAAGTGAAGGAGCACCTCCCGCAAAGGCAGGCCATTTCTGAAAGCTCTTCAGTAGCACAGTTGATATTGGAAAGTGTCTTTTGAGCTATATAGAATGTAAAGACAATTTGTTTCTTAGTCTAATTATGTAAACAGTACTGAGTGATAGTGTTATGGTTTCCGATAGTGGTTTAATAGATTTTAATACTGGAAGTTAAGATTCTTGGCGTGTTTTCTTCTATTTTCTTTTCCACCAGCTGTAGAGATTCTTGCTGATATCATACAAAACAGTACATTGGGAGAAGCAGAGATTGAGCGTGAGCGTGGTGTGATCCTTAGAGAAATGCAGGAAGTTGAAACCAATTTACAAGAAGTTGTTTTTGATTATCTTCATGCCACAGCTTATCAGAATACGGCACTCGGACGCACAATTTTGGGACCAACTGAAAATATCAAGTAGGTCTTCTTCGTTCCCAGGTCTTCTTTTTGAGAAAAAAATTGGGTTGTGAAAATTAACATTCAAAAAGTATGTTTCATAATATTATTGTGAAGTAATGAATAATGCCTCGTCACCAGTAATTTGACTGACATTGTATCAGCTGTAGTTTAGCTTCGTCTCGTTCCCAGGTATCTGAGCTCCCAGCTGCTTCTGGAGGAAACAGTAATGGGTATCAAATTTGCCTTTTTTCTTGCTCTAAAGCCTGCAAGTTCCCCAGTACATGCTGCCCGTGTTCTAGGGGCACAGGGTTTAAGAGCTTAGTTGCCAACAGAAAGGTTGCTGGTTCACACTTACCCAGCAACGTTACAGCTGCTCCTGTGCCTATAGCAGCCTAGACAAGCCTATGGTGCAGTTTTACTTTGTCACATGGGGTCCCTGTGAATCAGAACAGCCCGAACAACCTATAGTCTTTGATTAGATTGACCTCGGAAAGTACCTTTGAGGGCCAATGTCATGTCAAGTATATTATATGAAAGTGCTCTTCTGTTTGCAGGTCTATCAGTAGGAAGGACTTGGTGGAGTACATAACCACACACTATAAGGGGCCAAGAATTGTGCTTGCTGCTGCTGGAGGTCAGTCAGTTGAAGTTTGTATGAGTGTCATAAGCCGTTGGAGTTAGTTTCTACGACACCTACCAGTTTGATCTGTTGGGAGATGCCCTATGAGTTTTGAATTTACGAATTAAATGGTTTGTTTAAATTGTGTGAGGGGAAGATGGAGCACTGCCGCCAGAATTCCCTTTTTCATTTATGGAAAAATTTACACATCTTTAAATACCTAAGTGTACATACTCAATCACCTTCTTCCATTTAGTGGATTCTGATGGTGACCAGGTAGAACTGTCCCCGCGGGTTTCTGAGACTGCCTTTATGGGAGCAGCAGCTGATGGGTTTGGGTTTGATACGGTGACCTTGTGGCTAGCAGTCCAATGCATGACCCACTATAGCCATGTGGGAATTCATTTGCAAGAAAAGGACAAATGAGTGACTGTGCTGCAGTTACTCCTGGATAGTGACCTAGAAGTTGAGAATCTTGAGATTTTTAATGGTTTGAGTGCCAACTCCACCTTTGATCAAGTGCAGTGGGTATGTTGTCCACTCATTCTTTTACTTGTTCATTCCCTAGCTCTCTTCGTTGAATAGTGGGAGTGTAGAGGGAGCCATGAGAGAGCATACTAAGAATCCAAACATGTGCGGGCATCAAGAGAAGGCTCCTAAGGGAGCCCATGAAGGAAAAGTGACACCAGATTGTGCCCACTTTCCCAACAGTGGAATTGAAACAAGCAGTACTTTGAATTCACATCCAGTTTTGCTAACGCACATTGAAACTAGGAGGGTGTCCTCTTGTTCCTTGGTAAATTTAAATTACAATAAAAAATTACAATTCTAGTTTTGAGTAGACGTTTGAACTAAGTACTTAAGGAGTATTGGAGTTGGGGGGTGGTGCTTCTGAGGGTGGGAACCCACGCAGTAGGCCTGGGTTTGGTTGCCCAGCTAGTGCAGCTCAGGCACCACCATCCCGTCAGTGCATCTCCTTGAGGGCCTTCCTCTTTCTCTCTGACCCTCCCCTTTTCCAGACTGGCCTCTCCTGGTAACATGCCCACCGTTCGTGGGCTGAAGGGACTTCTAGGGAATGTCAGTTGTTCACGTGTGACCTGTACCACACGGTGCCTCCTAGAGCTTACTGTAAACTGAGGGTTGGCAATCTGTGGTTGGATTTAGATTGAACGATTTGCTGTTGGCTGCATGTGAAAATGTTTTTCTTCAATGTAGGCGTTTCCCACAATGAACTGCTTAAGTTAGCCAAGTTTCACTTTGGGGACTCTCTGTCCAGCAACACAGGAGAGATACCAGTTCTGCCTCCCTGCAAGTTCACTGGAAGTGAGGTAGGACAAGTCTTTCCTAAGCTAATATTTGGCTGTGGGTTTGTGTCGTACTTATGAGTGGGCAAAATGTATGTTTTCTAATAGGAAAAAAAAATAAACCAAAGCCTACAAAAGGAGAATAAGATGGACCGATTTGCTGACATTTCTACCTATCCCATGTTATTTAACCATCTATTTTACTTGCTTTTCCTCAGGAAGCAGAGTTTTTAAGAGCAGTGTTGTAATTTGATTTTTTGAATGTTTTAGCTTTGGCATTTAAATATTGTAAGGCATACAAGTAATCTCATGCTATTCGAATGTTGACAGGCTTTCACATTAGGGGTGCTCTTAGCTAAGTTCCGCCCAGTGTGCACTGTGGGAGTACTGGCCACATCAGATCTTGCATGCAATCTGCTCCTTAAGGCTTATCTGGCTTGTCACACCAGGGATGATTCTCAAAGTGTAATATCCAGGAAGAGTTCTGAAGTTGGCCTCTGCATGGAATTATAGCATCAGCAGTACATATATCAACCTGTCATGCCAGTGTTGGTTTAAATGAGAAAAATTCACATTGACAAAGATTAATACCCACCAGTGAAACTCTTTGATCGTGGTGAAATCTGGAGTTTCAAATAGAAGTCTGGTCGTGAACGTGGTTTTTTCCCCTTGTGAAATTCTTTTGGATTAACTACAAACTGTAACAGCCTTTACGGTTCTTAGTGAATATTTCCATGTTAACTTTGCCGTTAACCTGACTGACGAATGTATTTAGCATGCCCTACAATGTTTCTCTTAACTAGTCTCCTTTAACTAGATTCGTGTGAGAGATGACAAGATGCCTCTGGCACACCTTGCGATCGCTGTTGAAGCTGTTGGCTGGGCGCATCCAGACACTCTGTCTCTCATGGTCGCAAACACACTGATTGGCAACTGGGATCGCTCTTTTGGCGGAGGACTGGTAAGGTTCCTGTGCTAAGTGGAAGCCCCATGTTCCCAAGTACAGTTGTTCTGAAGAATCTGCCCTTGTCAATGGCAAATGGAACACTCTGTGAATTTTAATTTTTAAAATGTCAACTGGTTCTTGACCAGAAATTTCTTTTGCTATGTAGTTTGTTAGTGGGGTAATGGACAAAATTTAAGGACAGATCAGTTAGTTAATATTACTCTATCACTGTTAATGTTCTGATTTTAACCATTGTACTTAAGGGTAAAGGACCGTAATATCTGCAACAGACACTAACAGTTCAGAGCACTATGTATAGAGAGTGATAAAGCAAATGTAAAATTGTCTTAAGTTACTAGGGAATCTGCATAAAGGGCATATATATGGAGTCTTTGGTGATTTCTGTAACTGTTATGAATTATTTCAAAATATAAAGCCTATCTATTTGTACTCAAAGATTAATCCAAAACAACTTCATACAAATGCCTGATATTTTACCTGCAATATAATTTTGAATATGTAGGTAGCCAATACTCCTAAAAATTCATTTTAGAAGTAGGAGCAGTTACTATATTAGCCACTGATTTTCCATTGAGAACATTTCCCAGGATGTACTGGGTTGCACGGCACACTGAATTATAACTTCCAGTTATTGAGATGTTCCGACATAAAACTGAGAACTCAGCCTCGTAGGGCAGTTCACTATTGGCCTTACTTTCTTTCTGGTATTTTAGACATGTACCCAGAATTCTCCTGGACTTTTGTTTTCTTTGTTTTTAGAACTTATCTAGCAAGCTGGCCCAACTCACCTGTCATGGCAACCTCTGCCATAGCTTCCAGTCTTTCAACACTTCCTACACAGATACAGGATTGTGGGGACTCTATATGGTTTGTGAACCAGCCACCATTGCAGACATGCTACATATTGTTCAAAAGGAATGGTGAGAAAAAACTGAGTAATGTGTCTTGTGTAGGATTCCTTTTAGGCTAGTTTCTCTTCTTTGTTATCGGTGATTTTGTTTTCACATTTAATGAACCAAACATGAACAGTGGCTGCCAAATTTCGAAGCTAACTTTTTGTTAAAAGAAAAAAGCTAACTTTTTGTTAAAAGAAAAACTTTTGTCGAAGTGAATAGGAAGAGGTGTCAAGTAGACTCAAAATGTTTTCTAGCCATAGGTGCTGTTCCTACAATCATCTGTATTGAAAAAACTGGTTGCTAGGTGTGATTCCCTTTTACACCATGCATTTCTCCTTTCCTAAATCCTTGCTAGTTTTAAAAGAAATACCTCATTGCCATAGTCTGTTCCAACTCTAGAGGGCAGGGTAGAACTGCAGCGAGCCGAATCTTTCTCCCAAGGAGTAGCTGGTGGGTTCGAACTGCTCCCCTGGTTAGCAGCCCAGGTAACTCACCTTAGTTTGAGGACATCCATAGGGCTCTGTAGACAAAACGACCTATAAAGAAGGATCCTTTTGTTTGAGAAATGGTCTCTCTTGGTTTTCTTCTAAGCCTCCTATGAAAACTCTTTAATTTTTCAGAAACTGATTATTCAGATAAAAGATCTCAAGAAAGTTTGACATGTTTAAATGCCAACTGGAAGTTGCTGGGAGTGGGGTGGGGCGGAAAGTCTGTAAGGTATCTTATCTGGCTTGGAAAGGCAGTGTTCTACAGCTCAAGTTGCTATTGCTGAAAGAAAAGTGCAGTGTTTTCTTCAAGACTAGCATCTTGAGCCAATGGACAGAAGCAGAAATGTTGAGGGGTAATAGAAAACTCTGGTTCCTTTATATCATCACTTCCCCAAATCTCGAACACTGGGTTTAGTTATTAAATTCAACTGTGTTCTTTTGAAAACCCACTGACCTCTGGGCCCATCCTTTAGATCAGGGGTCCTCAAACTATGGCCCACAGGCCACATGCAGCTTGCTGAGGACATTTATCCAGGCAGCTGGGTGTTTTGGCCCCATTTTGTTTTTTACTTCAAAATAAGATACGTGCAATGTGCATAGGAATTTGTTCAGTTTGTTTGTTTTTTTAACCTATAGTCCGGCCCTCCAACAGGCCTGAGAGATAGTGAACTGGCCCCCTGTTTAAAAAGTTTGAGGACCCCTGCTCTAGATTATCAGATCTTAGCAGGGGGATTTAGTCTCAAAGATTACAGCATGTCTGAACACATGAACTAATTTTTCTATTGTACTGGGACCTTTGCCTATCATTACACAAATTGTCTATTTTGAGAAATTAGCAGTACTAGGGGAAAGTGTAGCATCAACAGTATGCTCTCTGCCTAACTGTAGGGGCCATTACTAACTTAACATTTTATGAAGATGATGACCTTTTAAAATCATCAAGCTCTCATTGTTGGTTTAGTATGTAAATTTTCCAAATGTCCTTTAGGATGCGGCTCTGTACAGGTGTCACCGAGAGTGAAGTTGCAAGAGCCAAAAATCTTCTGAAAACAAACATGTTGCTGCAGCTCGATGGTAAGAACAAAGGCGGGCATTCTCGTTTCATATATGGGTCTGTGTTCTAATACTTAAGCTTTCCCTTTCCCTTTAAACAGGCTCGACTCCCATTTGTGAAGATATTGGCAGGCAAATGTTATGTTATAATAGAAGAATTCCCATTCCTGAGCTTGAAGCAAGAATTGATGTAAGTAGTCTTGAGGTAACTTGGGTCTGGTATAAAAAAAGATCCTTGCTACAAGAATCCTTGTATCAAAAGGTAAAAAAATAATTACCCCAAATTCAACTTAAGTTTTCAATGTTGTTGGCATAGAATTTGCTTTAGTATAAAAAGCTGATGCTAGTAATCTCTTCCTTCTTCCAGGCTGTCACTGCTGAGACAGTTCGAGAAGTGTGCACCAAGTATATTTACGATAAAAGCCCAGCTGTTGCTGCTGTGGGTAAGTCTAGCTCTTACGTTGAACAGTGGCCAAGTGCACGTCTTTCCAGTCTTTGTTTTAATCATCTTCTCTGTAATCCTTAGGTCCCATCGAGCAACTACCAGATTTTGACAGGATTCGCAGTAATATGTGCTGGGCTCGTGGTTAAAGTGATCCTCCAAACATTTTCAACACTCATTTGATAAAACTAGCAGACAGGTATGCAAGGTTTACGCTGTAGTCTTTTTGGGAAAAATAAAAATGAACATGCTGAATTTAGAAATTTGAATGAAATGCATCATTCAAAGCTTTCAAAGGCTAAGACAACTAGCTGTCCTTCCCACTGCATTATGCTAGTAAATTACCTTGGCAGCAGCACTCTCAGTCACCATAAGTATGATTTTAAGAATAAAGCTTTGTACAATGTTTTCAGTTTTATTATAAAAATGCACACACAACAAGATGGTCACAGAGTCATTTCTTGGCTCTGCTTGCATTCAGCACTTGCTCTTGAGCAGCCTTCTTTGCTTTGACCATCTCGACGAGTTCCTGGGGGTGGGGCGGGGGGAGGGAGAGAGAAAGGGGTCAAAATTTATGAACAGACCGCGCAAGTATGTTTGCATCAAATTGGGACAAATCCAGGAGGGGGCTTTTTAAAAGCTTAGGGGAAAATTATCTTACCATTTTACTTTTTCCATTAACTTTTTGGAGCCCCCTCATAATAGTGACAATACCTAAGGTCAGTTTCACTAATTTTAAGAACTAGGAAGGTTTCTTGAGAAATTTCTAGGTTGGATATTACTTATACAAATGCTGGACCCATGGCTACTGCTGACATTACTGGCCAAGTACTTAATGGAAGTGATCAAATGCCAGCACCAGTTACAATTTAAGTAGTGATGGTATCGATAGAACCTTGTATCGCTTCATGCAGTCTTTCTTTGTCCTGCCAGGCACTGCTTCCGCTATCTTCTCCCATCTCTCAGGCGTATTTACTGGGTAGGTTTTCAGAGCTTGCTCCAAAAGCTTCTGCTCTTCCGTCGTCCACGGGGTGAGATCTGTGCATGGAGCTGCTGAAGAAAAATGTTATTTGAAAGAAAACTTACTCTAATTGCCAAGTGCCCATTCAACACTGGAATAAATAATGCTGAACTCACTTTCAGAAATGAGACACATCAAAAAGTCAGTGCTCGTGAGAGATGGAAAAAGGCTTATGCTAATGAATTGCAGAAAATTAAATATGTCAAGGTCTTTTAAAACACAGTTTAAACCTGATTTATAATGCTGATCTTTTATAACCTAATACTTTACTCACTAGACCTCAAACAAATAAAAGAAAACCCATATAAGGTGATGGTATAGTTTGGCTAGTGAAGATTAGGACAGGAAAAAAGGACTCCCTCACACTTACTGAAGGCTTCAGCTGGATCAACAACCATTCCCATTTTACAAAAACATGTTGGAACAAAATGAAGCATCCCAGCTCGCTCTGGAGGCAGGGCAGCAATTACGGTTAATGTGCTACCTGTTCACACCCTGAAGGCTCCGGAGCCAGTGTTGAGGACCACTGGGGCTACGGTTACTCCATATATCACTAGTAAACATCTCACACGTTTTCTAGGAATACATTCTTTTTAAGGCTGCAAGTATACACAGCCAACACTGTACTGACAGTGGTCCTTGTAGGAAAAACAGGAACGTTAAACGGTAGGCAGTTGATTTGGCTCTTTGGTTAGTAGCTGACACTGGCAGGCAGTTTCAGATCATGCAGTGAAAATGCAATAGCAAAAAAAAAAGAAAAGAAAATGCAATAGCACCTAAAGCATAGGTTTCCAAATTTATTTTGTCAGAAAAATAACTCCGCATTCCCTGGCAATGAAAATGGTTCATACTATATCCCATAATCCAGGAAAAAGGGAAGATAGCTGTTATACAGTGCCCTTTTTGCTCCTGCACCCCTAGGGGGGGCGGTATTGCCCACTTCGGGAAACACTGACCTACAATATCAATATTCTGAAATTTTATCCTCAAAGATTCTACTTAAGCCTAGAAACCAAAGTTTTCTCCCAATTTAAGAAGAGTGACAGGTTGAAAACACAAACCCAACGTATTCAAAACGGCACATGTATAGAACCTGGTTGTGTGTTGGGTTTCGATCTGTAAGGTAGCATTCTGAAACCACCAGTTAGTATTCAAGATAAGGGGAGAGACTGAGCTTTCTATTCTACTGTCATGAAGGCCTCAGATTCACGGGGCAGTTCTACCTCGTCATATAGGGTCATGGCAGTCAGTGGGTTTTCATAGTTATCTGGAATTAAAGAATTGAAAAGCTTACAAATTAGCTTTAAAATTCCAAGAAGCCCTTAGTTAAGTTGCCTCTTAATTAGTCTGGCCCACCTCAACACCACAGATATGCCTTTTTTGTGGAAAAAGATGGAAATGTCATGTTCCTCTTGCTCATCAGCTTTTATACTACCACCATAAAAACATGTTTGCAGAATTCCTGTGCACAAGTCCTTACAAAGAGGTGAAGGCCTCCTGCCCTCCCTGGGCTCCCCCCACCCCCACGGGAAAGTGAACTGCTTGAGAAACCGCTCTGAGGGTCTGCCTCCATCATGGAAACAAGACCCAGCAACATGGTTAATAGTATAACAAATGTTGGATTTTTAAAAGGGTTTAGGACGGAGTGCTTATCCCTGAATGTTGTATATTTTGTGGATGGTTTAAAAGAACAAAACCCAGGATCCCCAAATGTGAACGTGTTCCTATCTGCTTATTCTCCCTTCTATCCCCAAATACCCTGCTTGCGTTTTGCACTGATTAGTAAAATCCACTGAACAAAACATAGCCTAATAGCATCTGAAAAGAATGAGCTACAACATCTGATTAGTTATGAGCATTGTGGAAAATGCTTGCTTTACAAACCTTCGAACCGTTCTGAAGGTGTTGCATCATCTGTTTGAGGTACCACTCCGTGTTCCTTTTTAAATTTATCAAAAGCCTTTTTGTTTATGTCATCTTTTTGATGAGGATCTGAAAAATGTTTTAATGCATTAAAGTCCTTAAAATTACAGATTTTAAAAAGTATTAAAGATAGCAAAGAAATTGATTTCTCACAACTAACTCACCAAGTTTTTGGAGACTCTTTGCTTTGCCAATAACGTCCTTGGCATTTCTCTTGACACCAGATGATGAATGTATGTTCATGTAATTGGCAATAACTTCCCATCTACAACAACCAATAGAATAGTTTAATGATGGCTACAGGGTAAAAACAACAAAAACCAGCACCCTTATTTTTTATGGCAGGAGGGAGTTAGTTGAGCTCAACTAGTTAGTTCAACTAGTCCTATAGGTCTGGCTCAACTAGTGGTATAATTGCTACTACTGCCTATAGTTTTCCATGTTTAAACAATGGTATATTATCTTGGAATAAAGTTTGTACAAAACCGTATAGATTGTGTGATAAAACCATGCAATTTTGTATCGAATACAGTGAATCATGAGAAACTGCTGCAGTTCCTCATGTATAGATGGAAGGAGGCCAGGTCACAAAGATGAATTCTAAACGCAACCCCGATAGACAAAGTAAGCTCCAGTATGAATTGGGAAGCAACAATGGAGGAGCAGGTGGTTTCCCGTTACAGAATAACTACAGAACGTACAGCCCAGTCTCTACCACAAGCCATGACCAAATCAACCAGGATGGCGGGCAACATGTATGTTTCCAGATCTTCAGTTCTGAAAAACCGAACCATCTTGCAGTGTGTGTGTGTGTATGTAATGGAGAAGACCAGCAGTTTCCATTTCAAACTTCCACTGTGACACCAAATTTTTGCATATTGGGAAGTTTCTGCTATGACCAATGCTGCTAGTGGGTGTTAGTCTACATTACCTATAACCAGTCCGTGGGTGTGTTTATAAGCTGTTCAGTTAAGACCAGTGTACCTTGAATTTGTTCCAGCAGGGAAGAGGTTCACAGCTTTAATCAGTAACTGCAGATCATCTTCGGACCAATTTTTACTGCCATTCCCACCGCCGCCAGTTGACTTCTCAGCATTCTTGGATGCCTGTCGCATACGAGCCTCAGCTTCTTCTTTCTCTTTCCTGATTTGCTCATTTATATCTCCTATCTAAACAAATATAGGTAAATTAGGGGCTTAAAAGCATGTTGCTACTCCACACTCATTTTCTGGCTAGGGCTCTGGTCCTCTACTTTTAGGGTTAGCCTGCTCTGACCCTACACTCATCCTAAACCAACTCCCAAATTGATCCTAGCCTCATTCTAAACCAACTCCCAAACTGGCACCTGCTTTTCACTCTGGCTTCCGGGCCACATGGCCGGTTGAGGTACCATGATTCAACCCTGGCTGCCCTGTGCTGTACTTGTGTCATACAATATTAACTTGCATTGATGCAATTTTTTAAGACTATGGTCATGCACTAGGCTGTTTCAAACCTCTGAGCTCTTAACTACTGTACATACTCGAGTATAAGCCAACCCGAGTATCAGCCGAGGCACCTAATTTTAACACTAAAACTGCATTAAAAATGTGCTGAAAAACTCCGGTTCAACGCGAGTGTATATGGTACATTTGGCAATCACTCTCCACAGAAAAGGTAAAGGCCTAACAGAGTGGTCTTTGTTTCATCTTGAAGCTTTACCATTTAATGTTTTCAAACATGCACAGTGTCTCCCACTAAAGATGATCTTGACCTCATTTCTTCTGTCAGCAGCTCACTGCCTTGGGGTGGTCTGTGACTCCTGTCTCCCTTTCAGTCCTTGCTGCTGCTGCTCTTAGGTGCCAGAGTTGGCTGCAGCTCACAGTGACCCGATGTCCAACAGAATGACTGCTCGCCACCGTTGCTGTGTGAGCCCTTGGTTGCAGCCACTGTGTCCATTCTTCTCTTTAAGGAATTTCCTCTTTCTCACGGACTCTCGACCAGGCAAAAGGTCCTTTCTAGGGACTGGCCTCCCCTAATAACCTTCTCCCAGGTATGTGGGATGAACCCTTCAACGTAACTATTATTAATTCCTTTGTGGTAGCAATAGCACTAGACATGTCTCCAAAAGTAAGCACGACACTAGACGTACAGTAGGTATTATTAATACTTGTTGCACGGACCTGTTTCCTCAGTTGTAAAATAAAAAGTGTAGAACAGGAAGAACATAGATCTCTTTTGGCTCTAAGTGTTACTATCCTAGGGAAGAATCAAAACAATTTTCCTAAGTTTTAAGAAAACTATTGATTGATAGGAGGTACTACAAATCAAACACTACACAGTACCAACCACTAACGCTAAAGCCAATCGAATTCTACAACAGCATTTACTATACACAAAATCCAGTGAGAGGGCACACAAGATAACACCTTGTTCTTAGCAACCTGGACCTGAGGTGGGAGAGTGAGACAGAGGCGATACTATAAGCTGGCTGCAGGGCTGAGTAGAGGCAGAAGGGATACATTTGTTCTATTACCTGTTTTTCGAGAGCAGCCTTTCCTACTTCTTTTGTAGCTGATGTGAGTGTTTCATTCAAGCACTGCAAGCTAAAGAGAAAAGGATGACATGTTACCCTCAGCATGGCGGAAGACATCCATAGGCTGCTCTATAGGTATACCTTGCTAGTTCAAGTCGATCACAAAGCTTTTCCACTTCTTCCATCATTTTAACCCGCTCGGCCTCATTGTCAGAAAAGTGATTCCAGGTCTAGAAGCACAAACATGAACATTTTCATCTTGTATCCACCAATAAGAATACCTCCAACAACACAATTACCGTGCATGGACTTTTCATTAATAGAAGCTCCTGAGGTGATTTTGCATGATGGCCTTCGCTCAAGAACCACCTCTAGACCAGCTACTATACAGGCACTACACCAATAGGGCAGTGAGCAAACAGGAAGAATTGGATGGTAGGGTGTGCTTTTTAGGTGTTATATCAGAATAATTCCTCAGGGAGCCAATAGGATGAAGAAAACACTGTTCAGATTTAAATGCTTTTGTTAGGCTGTCTGTCTATAGTGTTTGAAGTACAAAATCTAGTGAAGTAAAACAGCACTCATGTATGAAGGAAAAGAGAAATCAGCAGCAGTTCTGATAATGCTCAGGATGGAACCCCTCAAATCCCGTGCTTCTTTATGCGGAGTCTGACAATCAGCGCCCTCCATTCTCCCTGCTCCCTAATCCAAGCAATCAGGTTCCGATCAATGTGCCTCTATGATTGTTGACACTTCCTTAGGCTTCCAAAAGCACTACTGGTTTCCTCCAACAACTAAAACAAACCCTCTGCCATGGAGTCCACTCGGATTCAGAGCTACCTTAGAGGACAGAGAGTGTTTCCAAGGCTGTGAATCTTTAGAGGTGGACTGTCAGGTCTTTTCCCACCAAGCAGCTGGTGGGTTAGAACTGGCGTCCCAGAGTTAACAGCACAATACTTTACCCCCTTGGTTGGCTATTGTGTTGGCCAACAATAACAAACAACTGACTATGGGACTCATTGAAGTAGCAGGCAAGGCAGTAGTGGCTGCACCAGTCTCCTCTCTCGAGGGGGATCTCAGACTGCCTTCTGGAAGCCAGGCTGTGCTGCCACAGCCTCTGCTCCCTGACTCGTAGGGCACCCCAGCCAGCTGCCATGTTGTCCTTGGAGTTGGAGTTGATCCACTCCACAGCACCTAACAACAGCTTTCTCAAAACATCTGGCATTCTAATGCACACCGTGTCAAAACAGCAGTTTGGGCATCCCTGAGGGTGTGTTCCTTGAAATTAGGGACTGAAAAGAAATCTGAAGGGGCAAGCTGTAAGGGGATGAGATGGTTTCTCAGTGAGATTCTTGTAGGACAGTCCCTGTTACCCTTGGAGAATAAAGCAGGTGCCCTGGGGGGGATGAAAAAACCTCGATGTATTTTTTCCTGGCACCTTCCTCACTAACCAAATTGTCCACTTTCTTAAAACTTAAAGCCACTTTGTTAAGTTAAAGTCCAAGTACATTATCCTGCTTTAAATATCACTCCCAGATTCTCCCCTTTACAGCTGTGCTGCCTTAACATGAGCACAGGGTTGACTCTATCTCCCTGTAGAAGCAGACATCCTTTTGCTCTCTCTTCCCATCATGACACTCCCAATGCAGGTATTAGGTTTCCTCACCTGTGAGCTCAGGGACCTTGTTGTAGATACCTCCCAAACTACTGAATATGCATGTCTTAAGGTGACCTATAAATGTCCCAAGATAGTAAAGGCTCTCTCACTTTTCCCAATTCCATGTGGTCCATCATGAGGAGCTGAGGTGCGCATGCTACCATAAAATGTGTCTGACTCCTTTATTTTATTCTCTCCCTATCTTTCCTATCCTCTATGACTTTACTAGAACCTCTATGTATTACCGCTGTATAATTGCGCCTACTGGTCCTTCGGTTGTTGGAGGCTGACTTCCTCTGACACTCTCCAGGTCCTCATATTAGAAATAAAGTACTACTATCTAGTCTCTTGAGAGTCATATGAAAGATGTTTTTCTATACATAGTAAGCATTTACATATTTTCTTTTTGGGGGGAGGGGCCTTTTTAAAAAATTTTATTGGGGCTCATACAACTCATCACAATCCATACATACATCAATTGTGTAAAGCACACTTATACATTTGTTGCCCTCATCATTCTCAACATTCGATTTCTGCTTGAGTTCCTGGAATTAGCTCATTTTCCTTTTTTCCTCGCCCTCCTTTCCTGCTCCCCTCTCCCTCATGAACCCTTAATAATTTACAAATTATTATTTTATCTTACCTTACACTGCCCGGCGTCTCCCTTTACCCACCCTTCTGTTGCCCATCCCCCAGAGAGGAGGTTATATCTAGATCCCTGTGATCGATTCCGCCCCCTTCCCTCCCGGTATCGCCACGGTCACCGCTGGTCCTGAGGGGTTCATGTGTCCTGGATTCCGTGTGTTTTCTTTACTTTAACTACAGAGGTACATACAGTACACACACAACTCTGTCACTACATAACCTGGAATTCCACAACTCTTTTAGTTCTGTTTAATCAGGAACAACACTGCTCTGACTTCACCAACTTAAAACATAAGGGCTTCTCTTGGATTAAAACTCCATTTCAAAACTTCTGGGGGTGTTTGGTCAATACTTTACAGTGAAGGCTGTATTTAATGCAAATTACTAGTACTCATGCAAATGAAACACATAAAAGAATTTAGAGGTCTTTAAAATCCACCAAAATTCAACTTCTAAAAGAATTATTTTACTAGGATAAAAATTAATTTTATATCACAAGAAAGAATTGGCTAAAACTAAGTGTGAAATATGCTAAAAACAACTGGTGTGATTTCTCCAATAAATTAATAACAAAGTGATGGTTGGGACCTATTAAAGGATCAAAAACCAAATCAAACTCACTGTCACTGAGTCAATTCTGATTCACAGCAACCCTACAAGACAGAACAAAATT